GGTTAATAAAATTATTTTATTATAATATTTTTAAATACATCCTTAAGGTATAGGATACTACAACCTAAATTCTCTTAAATATATTTTAATATCAAGGTTGATTTTTGTCCCTTTCTACACATGAAATAATTACATATATACACCATATTATTAGAATAAATACATATTATAGAACTAACAGTGAAATTAATTTATCTTGAGTAAAATATTAATGTAGGACAAAGTTTACTCAGTACACATGCATGGGTCAGAAAATAGACACTCAGCAGACACTAAACACAAGAAGCCTGATATGTGGTGTACTAGAGAGAGAACCACAAAAAAAACTGACCAAATAAAAAAGATAAACTAAAGAAATATATAAAAAGGAACCAAGATATTTGACCATATAATAGAGAAGAAATAAAGATATATTAATTAATAAGAAAAGTTAAAAAGATCAGAGAATATAGGAGACGACAAATAAAATGAAACAAATCTAACATATTATAGAAACTTCTCTCATACATCAATATAGTTCCGTATTTCTACACACTCCTATACTATACATCCATATACACTTAGGTTGATAAAGAGTTAACGTAGAGACATTCTAAGCTGGTGTCTAGTGTTGCGTCATTGCGTCATTATCCACTATATCGCGTTGATATTAATATTGATTTGAAGAGCTGTGTAACGCAGGTGAGAATGTTATTGATAATAATGACTTGTCGATTGATCGCTGGCTCCTGGTTATAGTAGGTCCCACCAATCCAACCTAACCTAACCTAACCAACCTAACCTAACCAACCCTAAATGTGTTTGTGTCTGTGTGTTAGTAGCTCTAACCGATGGTCCCAAAAAGGGCTAAATCATCGTCATCAAAGGTTGTCACATCCTCAAAGGTTAAATGATGGTCCCAAAGGGTTGTCATGGTCCCAAAGGGTTAAACTATCGTTAATAAAGGTCAGCCATGGACCTGTATACAAATCATGGTCCCCAAAGTGCTAAATCATGGTCTCAAAGGGTTAAATCATGGTCCCTGGAAGGGTTAAATTATGGTACCAAAGGGCCAACTCATCATCAAGGTTAAGTCATGATCCCAAAGTGTTGTCATGGACCTCAAAGGGTTAAATCATATGGTCCCAAAGTGCTAAATCATAGTCCCCAAAGGGTTAACCACAACCAGGTTAAAATCATGGTACCATACAAACGCGGTACCGTGCTGGGTTAAATCATCACAATAAAGGGTTGTCATGATCTCCCGCAAGGTTTATGGACCCTTGGGGCGTTAAATCATATCTCAAAGTGCTAAATCATAGTCCCTCGTGGTTAAATTGGTACTCAAAGGGTTAAATCATGGTCCTCAAAGGCTATTAAGAGTGAGGAAACAGCCGTCCTCCACTAAGATCCAGCACCATTATCCACTTCCTCCACCAATAAGTCGAGAACTCCACCATCATCCACCTCTTCCACCTTTATCCACCTCCACCTTTATCCACCTCCACCTTTATCCACCTCTCCACAATGTCCACTGAGCAACATTTCAGTGTCAAATTTATTAATACTAAATAATTTATATTTATTGTAAAATAATGAAGTATATTACTTCATTATATAAATATACTATTAAATAACACAATAGAAAACATCATAAAAGGAAAATTGTCCAACTATATGACTTTGCTGTATTTCAAATCATTACAACTTCACAAGAGCGACATTATTGAAAGGAACATTGCATAAGTAACAAGTTTTAAGCAACACTTCCGCAAGGTTAAGGGCGGTGTCGGCTTTGAAAGTTACGAAAGAGGGAATTCCTGACAAAAATTGACCAGACGTACTGCAAAAGGTATATATAGGAAGGAGGTGCTGGTGTCTGCAGTCGATCACCAGACAACAGCACAGTCATGGCACTAAGGTACATACAGGTTGAGAGAAGATACCCTTTCACCTGTTTTTACTATGAATACAATTTTACTTTTTAACTGAAATAAGTATTGTAACTTACTTCTGTATTATCTTTTTCTAAGGTAGTCCTTCTGCTGGGTGTGGTAGCTGGCTGCTGCTGACAGTTTCTTCATACTCCTACAGGGGCCTCTGTGAGGTTGATTACTAAATATCTTAACGAATGTTAATTTGTGTTGTCAAAATAACTGAGAAAAATTTCTGTTACATAAATCCTTTATTACCACAGGATTCCTCCGAAGAGTCTTTGAGTCTTATGAGTCTAGTGAGCTCAATACAACTTCAACTACGCCGTAAGCACGACCCTCCGGCACGACTTCCTGGCCACCAGGAGACCCATGACGGTGACAACACCAAGGTCAAACACGCAGCCCCTGACGCACGTCTGCAGACTGTGACTTACTGCAGACGCAGACCAGGCCACATCGCTGATGTCAAGCATGACGGAGAGGCTGCCACCCTGACTCACACGAGTCCTTTGAGTCGTCCGATCCTGAGCCCCCACACACAGCCCCTCCCAGGAGATTCATGCTGAGTTCTCAGTCACCCCAGGTACAAAACTGCAGCACTGCCTATAACACTAAATATATAATATATCTATCAAAATGTTATTGATGGTTTTCTAAGAAGGTTAATAAAAATTATTTTAATATAATACTTTAAATACATCCTTTAAGGTAGGGATTACACCCTAAATTTTCTTAAATATAATATCAACGATATTTTGTCCTTTCTACCATGAAATAATTATATATATACATTATATTATTAGAATAAATATATATTGTAGATCTGTCCAACAGTAAATTAATTTAGTCTGAGAAAATGTTAGTGAGACAAAGCTTACTCAGTACACAGTATGGGCAGAAGACTAGACACCGCCAGCAGACACCACACACAAGTTAGGCCTCGATATATGTAAAAAAAATTAATAGAAACTAAAAGAAAGATTGCTCACCAAATTAAAAAAGATAAATAAAGGAAACATATAAAATAAGAAAACCAAGATACTTTCATATAATTAGAGATGAAATAAAAAGAATATTAATTAATAAGATAGAACGTTAAGGAGAAGGTCGATAGAGGACAAATGAACGAAATTATAATCAAACATATTTATAGAAATTTCTCCCAACATCAACAATAATATAGCTCAACATTTCAATACACACCCTATAGCTATACATCCTTATATACACAAGTTGATGATGAAGAGTTAACATAGAGAGATTCAACAGGCTACAGGTCCAGTGCGTCATTGCGCTCACCGTCCTACATCTAAGCACCTATTGATATTAATATTATGTGAGAGTCGCAGGAAGGTGAGAATGTTATTGATGATACGCTTCCATCATTACCTGATCGGTTGGTCCTACAGTAGGAAACCGTCACACAACCAACCTAAACTACCAACCAATCCCAACCTAACCTAACCTAACCACTGTGTGGCCTGTGTGTTAGTAGTTTGAAAAGGTCCTCAAAAGGGTTAAATCATCATCATCAAATTGTTGCTTGGTTTTTCAAAGGGATAAATCATATCCTCAAAGGATGAATCATGTCCCCAGAGAGTTAAACCATGTTCCTCAAAGCATTAAGTCAAGAATCTCTGTATGCGTTAATAGGAGGAAAAGCCGTCCTCCACCAAGATCCGCACCATTATCCACTTCCTCCACCAATAAGTCGAGAACTCCACCATTATCCACCTGACACTTTTATCCACCCTCAACTAACAGGCTGAGATCTTCCACCCAACAGGTCAAAATCTCCCACCAATAAGTCAAGATCCCCACCATTATCCACCCCCACCAATAAGCCGAGATCCCACCAACATCCACCTCCCCCACCAATAAGCGAGATCATCCACCATTATCCACCTCCTTCACCTTATCCACTTCCATCATTATCCACCCTTCCACCAATAAGTCGAGGGCCACCACCATTATCCACCTCCACCAAAAGCCGAGATCCTCCACCAATAAGTCGAGATCCTCCACCTTTATCCATCTCCTCCACCTTTATCCACCTCCTCCATCATTATCCACCTCCTCCACCAATAAGTCGAGATCCTCCACCATTATCCACCTCCTCCACCAATAAGCCGAGATCCTCCACCTTTATCCATCTCCTCCACCTTTATCCACCTCCTCCATCATTATCCACCTCCTCCACCAATAAGTCGAGATCCTCCATCATTATCCACCTCCTCCACCAATAAGTCGAGGATCCTCCACCTTTATCCACCTCCTCCATCATTTCATCCACCGAGATCCTCCATCATTATCCACCTCCTCCACCAATAAGTCGAGATCCTCCACCATTATCCACCTCCTCCACCAATAAGCCGAGATCCTCCACCATTATCCACCTCCTCCACCAATAAGCCGAGATCTCCACCTTTATCCATCTCCTCCACCTTTATCCACCTCCTCCATCATTATCCACCTCCTCCACCAATAAGTCGAGATCCTCCACCATTATCCACCTCCTCCACCAATAAGCCGAGATCCTCCACCTTTATCCATCTCCTCCACCTTTATCCACCTCCTCCATCATTATCCACCTCCTCCACCAATAAGTCGAGATCCTCCACCATTATCCACCTCCTCCACCAATAAGTCGAGGTCCATCACCATTATCCACCTCCTCCACCTTTATCCACCTTCTCCATCATTATCCACCTCCTCCACCAATGTCCACTTGAGCAACATTTCAGTGTCGAATTTATTAATACTAAATCATTTATATTTTATTGTGAAAAATAATGAAGAATATGTTATATACTTCATTATATAAATATATCGTATTAATATAATTCATAATAGAAATACCATAAAAGGAAAATTTGTCTAACTATATGACTTTTGTTGTACGTTTCAAATCATAACAACTTACAAGAGCGACATTGGTGAAAGGAACATTGCATAAGTAACAAGCTACTTTAAGCAACACTTCCGCAAGGTTAAGGGCGGTGTCGGTTTCTTTGTTACGAGAGGGAATTCCTGACAAAAAATTGACCAGACGCGTCATGTGTGTTGGGTATATATAGGAAGGAGGTGCTGGTGTCTGCAGTCGATCACCAGACACAACACAGTCATGAACACCAAGGTACACACAGGTTGAGATACCTCACCCGTATTTACTATGAATAATACAATTTTACTTTAACTGAAATGTTTATTGTAACTTACCTGTATTATCTTTTCTACAGGTAGTCCTTCTGCTGGGTGCGGTGGCGCTGGCTGCTGCTGACAGTTTTCCTTCATACTCCTACAGGGGCCCTCACGTGAGTGTTGATTATTCGTACATCTTAACGAATGTTAATTTGTGTTGTCAAAATAACTGGAGGAAAATTTCTATTACAAATTCTTTCATTACCACAGGGTTCCTCTGAAGAGTCTTTTGAGTCTTTTGAGTCTTATGAGTCTAGTGAGGCTCAATACAACTTCAACTACGCCGTGAAGCACGACCCCTCCGGCAACGACTTCGGTCACCAGGAGACCCGCGACGGTGACAACACCCAGGGGTCGTACTACGTGCAGCTTCCCGACGGCCGTCTGCAGACTGTGACTTACTTCGTAGACGGTGACTCAGGCTACATCGCTGATGTCAAGTACGACGGAGAGGCTCGCTACCCCGACTCATACGAGTCCTTTGAGTCGTTCGAGTCCCGGGAGGCTCCCCGCTACGCCCCTCCCAGGAGAGTCTATGGTTGAGTTTTGTGTCTCCTGGTGTACACAACGGCAGGCACTGCCTATATAACACTAATATATAATATATCTATCAAAATGTTATTGATGGTTTTCATGAAGGTTAATAAAATTATTTTATTATAATACTTTTAAATACATCCTTTAAGGTGTAGGATTACTTCACCCTAAATTTTCTTACATATTTTTAATATCAAGGTTGATTTTTGTCCCTTACTACCATGAAATAATTACATATATACATTATATTATTAGAATAAATATATATTGTAGATTTGTTCAACAGTGAAATTAATTTTAGTCTGAGAAAAATGTTAGTGTAGGACAAAGTTTACTCAGTACACATGTATGGGTCAGAAGACTAGACACTGTCAGCAGACACTACACACAAGTTAGAAGCCTTTGATATGTGGTGCAGTACTAGAGGAGAGAACTAAAGAAAGATTAGAACTGACCAAATTAAAAAGATAAATAAAGGAAATATATAAAATAAGGAACTAAGATACTTTGACCATACAATTAGAGATGAAATAAAAGATATATTAATTAATAAGATAGAAGTTAAAAGGATCAGAGAATGTCGGAGTGTAGGACAAATGAATGAAATTATAATCTAACATATTTATAGAAATTTTCTCTCATACATCAATATAGTTCGGGTATTTCTATACACTCCTATAGCTATACATCCTTATATACACTAGGTTGATGATGAAGAGTTAACGTAGAGAGATTCTGTATAGGCTGGTGTCTAGTGTTGCGTCATTGCGTCATTTGTCTCACGTAAGGTCATGTTGATATTAATATTGAGGTGAGAGTCAGGTGTAGGACGCAGGTGAGAATGTTGTTGATGATAATGACTTCTTAGTGATTGATCGGTTGGCTCCTGGTTATAGTAGGTCCGTCACCTATCCTATCCTAACCTAACCTAACCTAACCTAACCTAACCTAAACTAACCTAACCTAAATGTGTGTGTCTGTGTGTTAGTAGTTTGAAGACGGTCCTCAAAAGGGTTAAATCATCGTCATCAAAGGGTTAAGTCATGATCTTCAAAGGGTTAAATCATGGTCTTCAAAGGGATGAATCATGGTCCTCAGAGGGTTAAATCATGTTCCCCAAAGGATTAAGTCATGGTCTTCAAAAGGTTAAGTCATGGTCTTCAAAGGGTTAAATCATGGTCTTCAAAGGATTGTCAAGATTCAAAATGTTAAGTCATCCTCAAAGGGTTAAATCATGGTTCCTCAAAGGGCTAATAAGAGTGAGGAACAGCGTCCTCCACTAAGATCCAGCACCATTATCCACTCTCCACCAATAAGTCGAGAACCTCCACCATCATCCACCCCCACAACAACCCAACCAACCCCACCAAAACAACCCACAAACCACCCCCCAACCAACACCACCACCAACCACCCCCCCACCACCCAAATCCTCCACCTTATCCATCCCTCCACCTTTATCCACCTCCACCATTATCCACCTCCTCCACCAATAAGTCGAGATCTCCATTATCCACCTCCACCAATGTTGAGGTAATAATTCACCATTATCCACCTCCTCCACTTTTATCCACCGCTTCCATCATTATCCACCTGATCCACCTCCATCATTATCTACCTCCCTCCACCCATTACAGACGAGATCTCATCATTATCCACCTAGCAATACGTAAAAAAAAAAAAAAAAAAAAAAAAAAAAAAAAAAAAAAAAAAAAAAAAAAAAAAAAAAAAAAAAAAAAAAAAAAAAAAAAAAAAAAAAAAAAAAAAAAAAAAAAAAAAAAAAAAAAAAAAAAAAAAAAAAAAAAAAAAAAAAAAAAAAAAAAAAAAAAAAAAAAAAAAAAAAAAAAAAAAAAAAAAAAAAAAAAAAAAAAAAAAAAAAAAAAAAAAAAAAAAAAAAAAAAAAAAAAAAAAAAAAAAAAAAAAAAAAAAAAAAAAAAAAAAAAAAAAAAAAAAAAAAAAAAAAAAAAAAAAAAAAAAAAAAAAAAAAAAAAAAAAAAAAAAAAAAAAAAAAAAAAAAAAAAAAAAAAAAAAAAAAAAAAAAAAAAAAAAAAAAAAAAAAAAAAAAAAAAAAAAAAAAAAAAAAAAAAAAAAAAAAAAAAAAAAAAAAAAAAAAAAAAAAAAAAAAAAAAAAAAAAAAAAAAAAAAAAAAAAAAAAAAAAAAAAAAAAAAAAAAAAAAAAAAAAAAAAAAAAAAAAAAAAAAAAAAAAAAAAAAAAAAAAAAAAAAAAAAAAAAAAAAAAAAAAAAAAAAAAAAAAAAAAAAAAAAAAAAAAAAAAAAAAAAAAAAAAAAAAAAAAAAAAAAAAAAAAAAAAAAAAAAAAAAAAAAAAAAAAAAAAAAAAAAAAAAAAAAAAAAAAAAAAAAAAAAAAAAAAAAAAAAAAAAAAAAAAAAAAAAAAAAAAAAAAAAAAAAAAAAAAAAAAAAAAAAAAAAAAAAAAAAAAAAAAAAAAAAAAAAAAAAAAAAAAAAAAAAAAAAAAAAAAAAAAAAAAAAAAAAAAAAAAAAAAAAAAAAAAAAAAAAAAAAAAAAAAAAAAAAAAAAAAAAAAAAAAAAAAAAAAAAAAAAAAAAAAAAAAAAAAAAAAAAAAAAAAAAAAAAAAAAAAAAAAAGTGTT